CGGCCGTTATCAGCAGGTACACGATCGCCATGCGTGCAGCTGCGTGCGTATGTACGTGCGGGAACTGCGTGCAGGCGGCGGATGCTACGTGCATCTGTGGCGCTATGTACGTGCATGCATGGTATGTACGCTGATCTGCGTCAACGGCCGGTGGCGTATGTACGTGCCAATGCGCTGCAGGCGTGCGTATTACGTGTCTGCGTGCGCGCGCTGGCGTATCGCAGCGTCTCTGCCTGCAGGGGTGCCGTATTGTACCGTGCATCGTGCAGGCGCTGCGTAGGTACGTGTTCCTGCGTGCAGATGCGTGCGGATGTACGTGCATGGAAGGCAAGGCGGTGCGCTCCATGTGACGTCGCAGGCTGTGCAGGCGTGCGCTATGTACGTGCCATGCGCTGAGGCGTGCGTATGTCACGTGTCTGCCGTCGCAGGCAGCGCGATGACCGTATGTACGGACTGTGCGCTGCGTGCAGGCGTGCGTATGTACGTGTCTGCGTGCAGGCGTGCGTATGTACGTGTCTGCGTGCAGGCGTGCGTATGTACGTGCATGCGTGCAGGTATGCGTATGTACGTACATGCCTGCGTGCAGGCGTGCGTATGTACGTACATGCCTGCACGCAGGCGTGTATGCCTGGCTTTGGTACGTATCGGTCTTCGCATCATGATCCGCTCCCGCGCATTTAAGTCCTTACTTGATGCTCGTCGCAAATAATGATGATGATGATGATGATGATGATGATGATGATGATGATGATGATGATGATGATAATAGTATTATTAATAATAAGGATGATAACGTTAATCATCGTGGAGTGAGCGCTAGCCGCCATCACTTCACGCGGCATCAGTGCTCCCCCCCCCGCTCGCATCAGTAGATCGGCCTAGGTTCTTGGCTTCGCGGACTCACGCTTCATGTATGCGCGTTTCCTCACCTCTAGGATCCGGGCAGAGGAAGACGTGTTGCAGCGGAGGCACAACAGCGACAGCAGCGTCAGCGGCTCCGAGCCCAGCATGCTGCCGGAGCGTTTACGGCGCAGCAACTCTTCCATCAGCATCTCGTCTGCGAAGGGCAGCCTCAAGGTGACTGCGCGTCGCCGCGGCGACCGGGTGACTCGCGAGCGCACTCGTCGATTGCGAACGTATCGAGCGGTTCGCTTAGGGAGACGGATTTTTGTCGGTAGCGCTTGTTTGCGGCTCGCGGTCGAGACGGATTGGTTGTATGATACTGTACTAATCGCCTGGTGTGGCTATAGACGTACAGGTCGTCATGCATCGCTTTGACGACCTAAATTTTCTTCACGTTTTCTCTACCGCCGTTAATTACGCTTCTGTTACCCTGTGCTTGCAGAACCCGCTGCTGCACCCGGAGCTGGTGCGCAGCCGGCCGACGGAGCGGCAGGGTCAGATCCTCGCGCAGCTCTCGCAGCTGCGCGAGGGTCTGCTCCTCAAGCAGCAGGAGTTCTCCCGCATGACCTCCGGCGACGTCCTCCTGCTGCAGCTCAGCGCCGGCGCCACGACGACGAAAGCAATATTACCTACAATCCTGTGCCGTCGGCCATCTCGGTTCCAAAAAGTGCACAATCAACCGATTTTACATTGGCTATAGTGTTATTATTGCAATGGGCCAATAGATATTAGCAGTAAGTGGATCCCGATTTTGCAGACATGTTTATCAGCTGGGGTTGTGTTACTGTTAGCTCCAAGAAACGGTATTGCTAGGGTTACAATACCGTTTCAAACCTTGGCTTCAGCTAAACACGTAGTTGCCTTATATTCCAAGTAATGAAGTATCGCCAAAGAACACCACACATGTGATATACCAAATGAATCAGTAAACGTCCACCTTCTTGTAACCATCAGTGCGCTACGATGCGCTGGGTACTTACGGGGTTACAGCGACTTTTTGAGACGAATGCAACAGAATTTATGAATTCGCCGCCATGTTTTATCATTCCGACCATGTTCTGACTGTGACTAAAACCCGCAATCGCCCAATCGACCGTACAAGGGAATTAAACAAGAGGTATGTGTAACTTTTTTTTTTTTTTTTTTTAAACTGTAACTACTTGTAGTACTACTAGCAGTGGCGTAGCTAGGATTTTTTCAGCGGGGGGGGGCACTGGGGGGCCTTAAATTTTCGTCGGGGGCACAATATATAACTTTTCTTTGTATTATACTGTTCTAACGACATTGTTTTTAATTCAATTTTTTTTATCAAGCATGAATTTTTAGTGGGGGGTGCACCTGGGGGGGCACAGAAAATTTGTCCCAGGCCCCCCCGTAGCTACGCCCCTGACTACTAGTAGTAGTAATAATAATAATAATAATAACGATGATAATAATATTAATGCTATGCACATTGCTAACATTTCTTTGTGTAATACGAGCTTATAAGTTATATCATAGCTTATATTATATCATGAAATACATGTTGCTGGTGGCAATGTGCTGGTTCGTGTGAGCGAGCTAGAGATGATGCGTGCGTGATGTGATATGGGTAAAACATTATTTATATTTGCCATGGGTCACAATTGAGGTTGCTCGTGTCCCTATACACTCTATCCTTTTTAGGTAATATGCTGACAGCATGAATGGAAGGTTTAACGTTGCTAATACATAGCATACCGGTACATATTGTGTTTGTTGTTCATACCTGTTTTTTCTCATTACCGTGCACTGTTAAGAATAGGTCCATTCACTGTGAATTTACACGGATAGTGCATGAGGGAAAATATTGAGATAGAGATCGAGAGGGTGGTTTTTTTGGTTTTGTGAATAAATGAACTGCGAATGGAAATGGTGCATCTGTAACGTAATACGCATGCATTGCCGAACCTGTCACTTGCTCGGCGGTGCATTCATTGCAGGTCCCACCACAGAGGGCAGCACCAGTTCTACGACATTGACACACGAGAACAAATGGATGCAAAGAAGCGCAAGCAGATGGAGCTGCAGGTAGGCTGGCGTTGCCACGGCAACAGCGCACGTTGTCACTAGGGCAGGTGCAGAGGCTTTGCTAGCGTGGTTGTAATGTGTGTGACTACCTCTCTTGCTGACTCTTGATGTGTCTATTTGGGGGACTCTTGAACTTACTGACATTTGACCGACAATTGTTCATGCAGTACATAACATTGTAGTCGTGATTTCATCGTGGTCACACATTTTCGCGTAATCCATAAGCTCGTCTTGTGCACCGCGAGCCACTTGTTTTGTCCGCGACTAGCCGCTTGTTTTGTTCACGACTAGCCGCTTGTTTTGTCTGCAGCTAGCCACTTGTTCCGTGCACGGCTGGATGCTCGTTTTATCCGCGCCATCCGCCAGTGCAATAGCTGACGTGCATGTGTTTGTTTGTAGGCGGCGATCGCCCAGCAGGTGGATGAGAATAAGAGAAAGCGGCAGGAGGAGAAGAAGGCTGCACAGCAGGAGGACCTGCGGCTGGAGAGGGAGTGCGAGCGCCTGGCCCTCCTCGCCCAGCAGGAGCAGCAGGCTGAGCAGGAGAAGCAGCGCAAGGCACAGGTGAGCCAACACTCCTGCTCCTCCTAGCTCCGTTGCTAAATACCTACCTATTAATTATATAGCTACATATTTACCTACCAAGCTCTAGCTTCGTACCGAGTTACCAAGCTACCCCCAGCTACCTACCTTCATACCTAAATACCTAGCTACCTATATAGTTACCTACCTAACTACTAAACTACCTAGCTCCCTACCTACCTACCTACCTACCTACCTACCTACATGCCTACCTGCCTAGTTACTGAGCCTGAATGCTGCCGATTAGTGTGGAAAGATAAACCACAGTGCCACAAAATGTCGTGTATTGCAGATGGAACAGAGACGGAAATTCGAGGATCCCATGCCACCTGATTCTCGCAGACCCCCGCCAGCCTCTCCTGAACCCCACTGCCCGCAGCCCCCTGCCGCCGCTGCGCCCGACTCCCACCGGCCTCCGCCGGCTTCCCCATTGCCCAAAGCGCACCGTCCGCCTCCCACTGTCGCACCGGATTTCCACCTTCCCCCGCCGGCCCCACCGCCGCCAAACGCCCGTCGGCCCCCGCCGGGCTCCCCGGCACCCTCGCGACTGGAGAGCAGCTGCTACTCGGCCGACATGGAGCAGGAGAGTGGCTCGTGTCACCAGGAGACGGATGACAGCTCGGTGCTCTTCAACCACCACCGCAAGAAGGACTGCGCTGTACAAACAGGTGCGCCCCCTCAGCCTTCCTGCCCCCGCGCAGCCGCGGGCGTTTGTTCGCGCGTCCGCACCGTCGATGCGCCGACAGGACGCCGCGGCCGATCCCCAAATTTCTAAATTATGCTTACTGAACGTTTGACGAAAAATCGATTGTCGATTGTCGTAAATTCTATCAAATATGTCGAATTGTAATCGACGATGGGTAATCGTCGTCAGCGACTGGTCAACGAGTCGATCACGTTAACGAGCGATTGATCACCGGAATGCAAGCAACTCCTCGTGTGGTCGCGAAAAACTAACAGTCGTAAACAGGTAAAAAAAACACGTAATTGATTGCCGAAAAGAGAAATTCGGCGGAATAAATTCCGTGATTTCCGCTCACAGTCGTTAAGCGTCGCGTGACGAGCCATTTAATTAACATGTGAAGGCCAGATGTCTCGCGAGAGACGATAAAGAATCGGAGGCATACGCACTAATGCGAGGCGAAGCGAAATGAAACGACATCTAGTATGTGTGTGTGTATGCCGTATCAAGTGTGTTGCCGTAGTTGTCTGTGTAAAAGACTAGCTGTCGTTGCCTAGCGTCTAGCAGGCGCAGTCTTATTAACCGATTATAATATTAACCGATTATAATATTAACCGAAATTTTCAGCCTGATTGCTATCGTTAGTCGCCACGTCGTTAGGCTCGTCACGTGCATGTCGCAGGTGTGCGTCGGGTGTGATACATGGTTGGGTGGCAGGTATATGCTCCGTCGCTCGTTAGCGATGCGTGTATGTGACGCGGTCACGGCACCGATGCTGAGGCAGGTAGGCAACACGTAGGTTTGCGATCCGTTATTCGAGTCGAAACAGTCGACGTGTCTTTCAAGCAGTGTGTACGTATGCTTAAAACGGATAGACCTTGCAACAAAAGGCCTATATAGACCAGATTAGACCTACTGTGAGCATACTTGCAGTATGCAAACATCACGAAATGTTCTCATTGAGCCAGAAATGTGCTCCGAAGTTGGCTATTTTGAAAACTTGCGTGTACGCAAGTTATTTCACGAAGTACCAGATAATGCAAAATAGTATCCACACACCATATATATAGCAATAGTTCCTGGAATGAAAACACTATATTTTTTTCCTGGTTGCATAAGTAATACAGATAACTATATATGATTTAAACAAATTTCACAATTTTGTACTGAATAAACATCGAATAATGAATTATGACTTGTTTTATCATAAAAAGGAACTGTTACTGAATCAAGTCGATCGTTCCGGTGTGTCCCTGATGTGTAAACATCACTGTGGTGCTACGTTCGTAAGAGAAGTAATTTCGTTTAGAGTTTGAGAAGAATGTTATGAAAGTAGCAACACAAATTAGTTGTAATGAATTTTTGCAACATATGCAAGCGCACAGTAGGTATATATAATATGCATTTAGCTGCGAGGTTGATCACCTTTAAACAGTGTGTCCGTGAGTAACTTTGAGTAACCGATAAACCTGCGTAATCATTAGTTATTATTAGCTCAGCTGACGAAGCACCCACCACCACCACTACGCTCGCGCTCGACGCATATCCATGATAACATGTTAATATAGCGAAGTCATTAAAGTTACACAGCTGTATCTTTATTACTGTACTACCAGTATGTATAGCAAAGCCTATCATAGATTTTTGATCTGTATTAGTAGTATCCTAGATATATGCTCTGAGCGCGAACGCGGTGGCAGGAGGGCGCACTTGATTCGGTTGCCAGTGAGTTTATCAGAAGAATACCTGGCTACAGTACACGTCAGTTGAGCGCTGTCGCTCTGCGGCACTTGTTAATACTAACTGCATGCGTATTGTTTTGTTGATACACTCAGGATAATTAGGGTGGTCGGTGGCTCGGGCTTTCATGCCACTTGGATTCGCCCGACCCCATAGCGACCCATCTGACCTATGACCTCTGTGACCTTTCAGACGAGCTCGCCGACGACCTGACCCGGCGCTCGAGAACGGCGAAGCGGGCCGCACGCGATGCTGCCATTGCCGCCCGGCCCGAGTGGGGGAGCAACCAGGCGGACACGGACAGCGGTGGCCGCAAGCGCATTCCGAATTCGCAGCGCGACCCGCGCTACGAGCAGCAGCGCGTGACGCGGGAGGCGCGCATCGCCCGCCGGCGCGACGAGCTGCAGCAGCTCGCGCAGGCGCCCAAGCTGCACACGGCGATGCGCGGCCGCCAGGGCGCGCCGCTGCCGCGCTACCATCTGCACGAGGACTGGTGCAGCGACAGCGAGGCGGCGTCGTCGATAAGCGGGCGTCCGAACGCGGTGCGGCGCGTCCGCTCGGGCTCGCCGCGACGCCGCCAGAGGGCACCCTCGTCGCCGCCGATCCCGGCCGTGCAGCGACGTCAGCAGCAGCAGCGGCACTCGCCGCTGCCATCGCTGCGGCTCACGAGCAATCGCGGCCTCGTGTCGGGAGGCAGCGATCTCCTCAACCCTCCGTCGCCGTCGTCGCCGCGACGCCGGCTGGACGTCGACGCAAAGCTGGAGCGAGCGAAGACGTGGGACAGCGGTTACGCGGCGAGCGTGAACGGCGAAGCGGCAACGCTGTCGTCGCCGACGATACATCGACGCGCAGCGCACGCGCAGGCCGGGAGGAAGAAGGTGGAGGAGGAGAAGGAGGAGGAGGAGGAGGAGGAGGAGGAAGAGGAGGAGGAGGAGAAGGAGGAGGAGGACAGGGATAGGGACGAGGACGGGGAGGTGGAGTCGTCGGCGTATGGGAGCGCGGCTTCCATTATGCCGCGGTCGCCGCCAGTGCCGGCCGTATATCACAGGTACAAATGTTGTACGATTGTACGTGATCGTAGAGATTGTCTTACCCTTCTCGGTGTGCTGTCGATAACGTCTCGCTCTCGTGTCGTTGGCGATGTGTTACGAGGTTGATTTCTGTTGGACTGTTAATAGAAATACGGAAAGAAAATATTCTGAATAGATGACAGGGATTGTGATTGTTGTCATATAATAAATCATTAGTCTGGGTTCTTAGCCAGAAAAGCTTCAAAAGTTGTACAAATAACGTATTGGCATATCGTGTAAATAGAGGTGTAGTATATATCTAAACTTTACCAACCTGTAGTTGGTCATCAACTCCCGTCAATGTAGGATTTGGGAGTCTAAAATCGAACTGCAAGACAAAAACGAACAACAGCAAATAAAAGCATTCAGCATTTAGCCAAAGAAGAGTTATGAGAAAGCCATTCATAAGTTTATGATTAATGCGTGCCTTCATGTATGGTCGAATAGCTATTATACCTCAAATGATCATATCCGAGAAATCCAAGGCTATCAGAGAAAAAAACGTGAGAAGAGTTGGTGATAATTATGCCGCCATCCTTTAGTGAATAGTTTATTGGCCGTCAGGGTCACCATAATCGTGTATATTGCTTTCCTTACCCTTCTTGGAGTGGTTTCTCCTAGCTCCCCAATTCGTCGTGTTGACAGTGGAACGTTCCGAGCTCGGAAATCAAACTGTGTAAATTCCAATAGAACATCGCAATAATATTCGACAATGCTTTCACACATTTCGTCACATTTTTACCTGTAAATTGCTCGATTTTTGATCTCACGGTCCTGACCATAATTTAAACTAGAAACTTTCCCCTTGTGGAAACTTTAACTAGAACCCCCCTGTAAATTCTATTCATTAGGAAATCAATTAGTATGCCATTAAAATATCGATCCTGTATTATCAATAAACCCACAATGTTTTAATTCAGGTTATCAATGTTAAAAGCAAATGTCAAAAGGTGGCGCAGCGTATGGAATAAACCCGGCGTACATTTTCCGGCACTGTGTTTTCCCTAGAGGGAGTCTCCCGGTGCCGGCCTCCTATAGGTGGCGCTGTTTCCGAACCTGTGTTGCGCGTACGTGTTACGGATTGGCGGAAGGCTGGTACGTAGCCGGATGTCAGATCGGTGCCAAGGTCCTGAAGGCGTAATGCAGCATTGATTATACTTGGCGATAGAATTCGAGAGAATGGGACATAGAAGGGGGTCAGCATACAAACGTGGGAGGGAGAGAGAGAGCGGGAGAGAGGGGGATCACCCCTGAAAGATAGTGAATGAGCGAGAAACAGTGTATGTGTGTGATTGAGAAAGCGAGAGAGAGAGAGAGAGAGAGAAATGCAGAGAGCAAAAGCGAGAGTGGGAGACTGAGTGAAAATGAGAGAGGGAGAGAGAGAGACAGTGAGGCAATGAGTGAAAGAGGGATGAGGACAGAGAGAGAGAGAGAGAGAGAGAGAGAGAGAGAGAGAGAGAGAGAGAGAGAGAGGGCGAGAGAGAGAGAGCGCGCGAGAGGGAGAGAGACAGAGAAGGTTTGCGTTTTGCCCCAGTGAATGAATATGCTCTGTATATACGAGAATGTACACTCCTGCTATTATGTAGTTGCTGCTATGAAATGTTTGACGTTTGCTGTTAGATATGCGGTTCGTTGCTCGTGATTATATTTATACATACGTACACCGTATCGGTAATTTACCCGTCCACATCCAGCGGCTGCTGTCGTGGGATAGATAGTAAATCCAGGGTTTTTGCTAGATTATATTTTTACAGTGCAGAAGGATGGGTAAGGGAAGAGCGAGAGAGGGGGTGGGGAAGGTGGGTGGGAGAGGGTTAGAGGGCGCGTACGTTAGCGTGATTTACTATCTGCAAGGAAAAATATTACTTCGCTCGCCTAGACGTTTTCGTCACGCATTTCGCTTCGTTTGCATGCCTGCTTTCTCACAGGGTGCCGTGAATTAATGATGATAGGTTTCAGGTGCCGAGCTGTGCGTGTGTGCCGTCCAGTAATTGACCTGATCGCAGGAGGTGTGTACGTGTTAAGGCGTCGTGGTATCACACGACATAACGCGAGTTCACGTGAGATCACTCGAAATCCCTCCAGCATAATCCGTCTCTCGACGCGCGTGACGTCGTCATGACGACTGCGCCGTTATTTTCAAAAATTTTCGCCACCGAATGGTTACAGCCGTCAGAGGGCGCTACCGCTGTGACCCGACATTAACGTGTGCCATCCGACGAAGCGATTCGATACGATACTAAACCATCCGAGAATTTCATCTCGCCGAATCTTATCTACGCAGAACGAATCCGTCGCAAAAAATAAATCCTCGCTGATTTCGTGAGCGTAGGCAGCGGAAGCCTTCGCAGCACGTGCTGTTAGACGGTGCCCAAGTCCTTCGACTGGCTCTGCGTCGCCGCTCAGGAACAACATGTCGTCAGTCTAGGCTGTTGATCTCGCTTCCGTGTATCCGTCCGTTGGGTTCATCGTTCGCAGGTTATGTATAATGAAGTTATTACTGGAATAATAAATGAAATCATTGTTGCATGCAATTCAGCGTGTTCGTACATGGATGTCTCTACCGTGCCCGCGAGCGCAAGGTTTACGAGGTAATTTTATTTAGTTTTAGTGTTTTTAGTATAAATTCAGGAGCATAAAACAAAAATTTGTTTTTTATTTGCATCAACATATATATCAGAAGTAGATAATAGGGAAGGAGTGTGACTTCAATAAACAAGGGAAATTCGTCATTTACTAGCCTTAGAATACCTATGATTTCCTACGCGTAACTCAACCAACTTGAGCTCAAATCGTACACAGTACATTCGCCTAGCATCGTGCGAAATCGTTTTCACGTATACACCCGCAATCCGGAGATACAGACTAAAACGTATGACACGATTCTCCATTCTGTTGCCAGCAACCCGAATGTATAACCCGCCTAACTTGATACAATAGGCAGCGCATAAACAGACTCTTGCACACTCTTGTGCCCTCGGCGATGCGGTGTGGCTCACTGGGAGATTGGATCTGGAGCTGCTGCTGATTGCGGTGGGCGTGCGTGGGGGGCATACCAGCTGTAAATAGGTCAAAGATTAGCTCGCCGAGTGTTGCGTCGATGTTGTTAAAAAAATTAAAATTAAAATTAATTAATTAAACATTAGGTATAGATCGGTACCCCATCCCCTGCGGGTTTTCGGACTAGTGGGCTTTCGGACTAGTTGGTTTTCGGACTAGTGGGCTTGAGGACTATTGCAGTATTGGGCCGTCGGACTAGCGAGCTGTAACCACATAGGAGAGTTATAACAACCCGTCACGAGTTTCGCCCGTTCATGTCACTGATCTCTAACTATAATATAATCAGATTATATTATAGAGATCAGGGGGTAGATTCATCAAGCTGCGTACGCAAAATATTTTGCGTAAATCTTGTGTACGCAATCGACGTTGCTTAGTTGCGATTCATCAACACAGCTATTTAGATCAACAAATTAATGAATAAATAAATAAATGAATAAATAATATACTAATAAATAAATGTCCGCACCGTTTCTGGAGCAGGGTTATCTATAAATGCTCTCTCTCGTGTTGTTGGCTGTTCATTTCGTGGAGTTCTAGAATCAAACTGTAAATAGACAAAACATGATTTTTTTAATAAAAAATTTAGTATAAATCTAAAACTCGACACGAAAAAATAAATGTTTAAATCATTTATATAATTATAAAATATGCCTGCACGGTATCTGGAGCAGGATTATCTATAAATGCTCTCTCTCAGGTTGTTCATTTAGTAGAGTTCCAACATTAAACTGTAATTATAGACAAAATCAGGATTTTTTATAAAAGTGACGATATAAAACTTGAGTAGAAAATAAAAAATAAATAATAATATACTAATAAATAAATTCCCACACCGTTTCACGATTAGTGTTATCTATAAAATCTCTCCCTCGTGTTGTTGGCTGTTCATTTTGTGGAGTTCTGGTATCAAACTGTAAATAGACATAAAAACACCATTGTAATCAAATGAATTACGTAAAATTAAACAAGGTGCTCACTTTCACACAGTGCAGTAGCATTGAAAGTGCGTACTATATCTGGGGTATTCCGATCTTGTAGAATATTGGGACCGAGTTTTTTAATCAAACAGCAAACAAAAACGAAAAACAAACATTTTGGGTTTAACAATATGCAGTTGTAAAATATGAATATGTTGTACTCTTGTACGTCATCATCGTTATTGCCTCACCGTTCTTGGTGTGCTGTCTATAACGTCTCGATCTCGTGTCGTTGGTGGCGTGTTCCGAGGTGGATTTCTAAAATTGAACTGCAATTAGACAAATGACAGCATTAATTACATATGTGATACTGTGTAAAATGAAATAATTAATAAAAATGATGATTATGGAGATAGTGGTAATAATAATGGTAATCATAATAATAACAGGAGTAGATAATAGAAGATCTTCTATTATCTACTCCTGATAATAACAATATTATAATTGTTGTACACTTATAAATAAATTCCCGCACCGTTTCTGGAGCAGGGTTATTTATAAATTCTCTCTCTCGGGTTGTTGGCTGTTCATTTAGCAGAGTTCTAAAATCAGTCTGCAAATAGATATGAAGAAACAATTTTATTAGTAAAAAAAAATGTAGAATGCAATAAAAAACAAATAAATAAATAGTAATATACTAATAAATAAATGTCCGCACCGTTTCTGGAGCAGGGTTATTTATAAATTCTTTCTCTCGTGGTGTAGGCTGTTCATTTCGTAGAGTTCTAAAATCAGTCTGCAAATAGATATGAAGAAAATTTTATTAGTGAAAAATGTGTAGAATGCAATAAAAATCAAATAAATAGTAATACTAATAAATAAATTCCCGCACCGTTTCTGGAGCAGGGTTATTTATAAATTGTCTCTCTCGGGTTGTTGGCTGTTCATTTTGCAGAGTTCTAAAATCAGACTGTAAATAGACACGAAGACATGATTTTATTAGCGAAACATGCGTAAAATGCAATAAAAAACAAATAAATAAATAGTAATATACTAATAAATAAATGTCCGCACCGTTTCTGGAGCAGGGTTATTTATAAATGCTCTATCTCGTGTTGTTGGCTGTTCATTTCGCAGAGTTCTAAAATCAGTCTGCAAATAGATATGAAGAAACAATGTTATTAGGGAAAAATATGTAGAATGCAATAAAAAACAATTTTTTCTCATTACCGTGCACTGTTAAGAATAGGTCCATTCACTGTGAATTTACACGGATAGTGCATGAGGGAAAATATTGAGATAGAGATCGAGAGGAAGGGGAAAGAGGGAGGGAGATGGCGAAGAGAGAAGCATGGGGAGGAACAGAGAGGGGAGAGAGAGGAACGGGGGAAGAAAGGCAAGAAATGGTAGTAGAGGAAGAGGAAGGCGTGCTAAATAGATAGAGAAAAAAGAGTGAGAGAGAGAAAGAGAGAGCGAGGGTACGGAAATGGACAGACAGTTCAAATAAATTTACAAGGCAAAGTTGCCCAAAAATTAATCAAAAGCAAAGGCTGATACATATATATTCAGAAAGCCCTCCATATATTTCATAATATATATTCATAATATATTTTATATATATTTATATCTATCACATATTACAATTTTACCGCAGAATCCTAAAATGCAAATTCTTTGATATCATCGCCGCAGTTTTCTGTCTACATAATTTTCTAACTATATATACTATTTCGTATCAATTGGTGTCATATCAGCACAGCGTGGTCATCATCTCTATCGATCTTGTTAGCTCTCTACTATATCCCGTAATTACCTCACCGTCTCGGGTCGTTTGGGCTGTGTGCACAGCGCCACCTAGTGCCAACTGTCGTTATAATCGAAAATTATAAAATAGCCATTTTGCAGACTAAATCTGTTGCGAAAGTATCACGTATCGTGTCACGTATTCCCGTCCAGGGCCGTAGCCTGCGGGGGGGGCAAGGGGGCAGCTGCCCCCTTGATTTTGGAGCAAAATGTAAAAAATAAATTGTTCTACTAAAAGAGAATTGTCGTAGTCAGAATGAAGGCTGTACATGTACTCAAAAGTGCCTCAAAAGGCTCGAATACCGTCTCCTGCGATCTACATTCTCAAAAAGACCCCCACCTGTTTCTCACCCCCTCCTTGAAATCCTCGATCCGCCACTGCCCCCCCCCCTAGGAATTTGCTCAGCCTACGGCTCTGCCGTCGTTAGACTGTCGACATTCAGGGGGATATAAAGCAATATGAATGTAATACCGACGTAATCGGCACTCTATTATAATCGGTGGTAAAGGTCTCACCAAAGCTGGTAAACATTGCAGCAAAATGCACCATACTCCAGACAGCCCATCAGACTGCGAGAAGCTAATCACTGCATTAATAACTTCATATATATTATATTTATACATATAATTATATATATATATATAGTTATATGTATATGGATATTATGTGGATATATAATGTGTACGGCACGTTTAATATTCACAAACATCGAGCCATAGTAGTATTTACACGGCGTTATTCCAGCAATATATAAAAAAAATAATCAAAAATCCTTTATTATTCTCATTCATCTACTTTCCATGACTGTCCGACAGCGGACGACCAATCGTAAATCTTTTCCACGGGGGAGGTTTTCTTACAATGTGCACAGAAAACGGTGACGTAGCCAGAAGCGCGGAGGAGTTAGTGATTGACGTAGGAATTCAGCGTCGAGTCTTTGAATAGCTGACAGCTGCACGCCGTGCGCAGTTCATACGGCTCGCGCTCCCACAGAGGGCACTCCGAGCTGCCGACGTTACGCAGAACTGGGATCGTCATCGTCTGCTGACTGCAGCCGCCGTGATCTGCAACGTTGAAAACCCGAAACGGCGTCGTTGTAGTAACAGCGGTAGTGTAGGGCATCGACAGGTCACGCCGTGGAGGCGTATTATTAGTAATGTCGACTCAACGTTATTTATTATAATGTCCCGTGGGGATGGGTACAGGAAAGCTAGCTACACTTATGGAGTCCTCGCGATGAGAATTAGGGAGAAACGCTTTAGACGTCTCAGCCTCATGGATGTTGTTGGTAAGGCTTGACAGAAATGAGCAAGTTTTGCGAGAGGGCATGTCTCACGAACGGACACAATGTCAGGTATATGCGGCACATCACGGCAGAATTGCAAGTTAAAATTACTACCGTCGAGTTCAAAGACAAATGTGTGCAAAAGGTTCAATGTGTCAAAGTTGCAATCAATGTGAAAGTCGGAGTCGGGATGTTAAGGTCGAGGTGAAGGTCAATGTCAAGGTGAAGGTCAAGAGGTCAAGGTTGGAACTCCGCTTACACTGTCCGTCGATGTTCAGGCAGCCTCCGTCGCCGGCACAGACGTTCTCGTTCAAGAACTGCGGGAAGAAGTCGTCTGCGAGCACGGTCGTCGCGGCGCACGTGCTGCACATGTTCACCGTCCTCCTGCCGCTCGCCTGCTCGCCCCGGCGTGCGCAGCTGCGCGGGTAGCTCACGCCTACCCAGAAGAAGTAAGGAAAAAAACCAGTGATGAGACAAACGCACGACGAGCGACGTCATCTTACTACAAACGAGCCTAATTATGGTGCGAGTGGCGGTGGTCACGTTTCAGGTGTCGATGGGGGAAGCGTCGTTTAGTCTGGTATGGTCACGGTGCAACATTGATGGAATATATTTTTTAAAGATGGCAAAATTCAAACGTAAGCTTAACTATTTTTCCAAAGTCGTGAATGACATGCTGAATGGCATCGTGAATGTCGAGAAATCGTCGCACCTTTTTCAAATGACATCGGATCAGTTATCGACTCTCCGCTCGTCTTTGAGCGGAGCACGCTCGAAGCCAGGAAGCTGTTCGCGCAGACCTGCTTCTGCAGGAAACGCTGCAGCAGCAGATTCGATACGACGCCGAACGGCACGCCCTCTGCTGCCTGAAAACCAAGTTAATATGAGCTAAACCAAAATAGATTGTATGTGTGACCGATTACGTATGAGAAACGTGATGCTGCATCGAAGAACTAAAACGAATATAACCGTATGAGCCGTACAATTCCACAATGATTCGATCATGCGTACAGGGAAAGTGGATTAGTCTTTGCCCCAGTCAGCGCAAGACAAAGCTGATTTGATGAGCGAAAGAACTCCGAAATTGTGTAGAATGTGAAGTAATTTTTTTATATGCACGTGGGAAATAACACGAGCGTAATTAAATGGGTAACATGTGTACTATGTGTAACGCTACCGCAGCAGAAGTATACACTGTGGCCAGTTTGTTAGTGTACCTCGTGGCTTCCGTAAGCATCCGGGAACTCGTTTGCTTCGGCTCCCGTCGCAGCAGCGAACGCGAGCACGCCCGGCCGCGTCAGCAGTGCCTCCATCTGTTGGCGAGTGAGGAACTGACATGAACGCCCAGATGGCGCTGTGCGCGTCTCGGGCGTTGCATCCTGCGATCGTCGCACATCGTCGGTGGATGGAATGCTTTGGGATCGTCCGCGGAACGTCAGCGCCCTGTCCTGCACCGTGGGTTTAACACCGACCTATGCAGGGAAAATGTAAAAGTCCAAGCTTATATACATAATATATATGTATATATATAATTATAAGCCATTTCATGCTGTAGCCTGACAATTAGCATAGGGGCAGGGAATGTCGGGATACTGTGGCAGAAATGAAATTTTGAGATTGGGTTTTGCAATGAACATCTCCTTTGGCAATGCCCCCATCTTTTTAAACGCATATAAGATAAGCTGAAAAACATCGTCTTGGGTGGCTAAGTGGTCGAGCCATCCGCACGCCATTGCTAGTAACAAATTGCTCGCCTTTACCAGGAAAGGTAACGTTTTTTTTACATATTGGCTTAAGTCTATTGTCTTCATGTGCTTTTTTACTGATTTAACTGTTGTTATAGATTATGTGAATTTCGGTATTGTTTCCGGAGAAACGATTTCCCCAACTTGTCGATCTCGCGTCGTCGGTGAGACGTTTCTTGAGGGATCTCTAAAATTAAACTACAAATGGACATAAAACATGATTATAATATTATGTAAGATGAACTAAGATCATTTAAAATGCAGACGGGAAACAATAACAAAACATCAGTAGATAGATTTCCCGCACCGTTTCTGGAGCAGGGTTATCTATAAATGCTCTCTCTCGCGTTGTTGGCTGTTCATTTCGTGGAGTTCTAGAATCAAACTGTAATAAATACACAAATTAATTTTTTTAATAAAAATTTAATAATCGAAATCTCAACAAATTAATGAATAATGCACAGGGGAGATAGTGATCCGCTAGGGGACGGCTCTGATTGGCTAATTTTGTCTCTTATTTATTTTATTATATATATTATTTTTGGCTAATTTTGTTTTATTTTATAATTAGGGATAGGGTTAGGATTAGGGTTAGAGTAAGGGTTAACTGATTTCGATATCCACAACTTATTTTTATATTCACTATCTCTCCCCTGAGACTTACTAGTTTATAGGTATTTATGGCTGCGCGTTTGTATAAACCACACCAGCGCCATCCATAACCGCGTAAAGCAAACGTTACAGCGGAACATTACTGCGATCCGCAGTGTTGATCTGTCTATTTGCCCCACTTTGTCTCTTCCGTCTTTGATATAGACCCGTGGACTTTGAAGACTATAATATTCATGAGGTTATGAGAAAGACTGACACATTTATTACAGGCGTGACTCGGTGGCGCACGTGCGTGTCATCGTTACCGGCAGACGCGCGCGTGCCAAAACGCGCCAAAAAACGAGGCAGACGATTCGACTCGGTGTTATGTGTGTCACGATTGCCACGATTGCCACGACATAATAGAAAAATATCACCAGCAGATAGGACGGACGGTCATAGACTGGTACCCTGCCTCTAAATATAGAGTAACTATCTATTAATCTATCCTCGAAATATATTTGCCAAAGATTTGTTGTTAACAAAGCGTAGAGACAGGGTACCAGTCTTCGATAGTCATTGACATATATATATAGAGCCGTCTACTGATAAACATCGCTATAAATTATCGAGGTACGGAATAAATATGAATTAATTACGATGTGAATAATTATGGATATCATGAACATACACACACGTAGAATGGGACAGGCATTTCGCATTTGTTACTGCGGGGTACTCCCTAATAGGCGCTAATATAATATATAGCACTAATATAAGTTTGCTGCCTTGAAGCGATCATCTGTTGATGAAATTGCGATGAACACGTTAACGCGCCCCCGATCTGGTTCCGCTTGTGATCAAATTTGAGCGATTGCTCGTATAAATCCGGACCAGAAAACCATGAAATTATAAGAAACGAAGCAAAGAAATCGGCGTACGTGCTCGTTTTGCTATGCAAATTCTCGTGCGTGGCTGTGGCGGTGGGGGTGGGGATCGAGGGGGTTTAGGTAACGGTTTTATCGTTAATAACGATGTCTACTGTCATGAAAGTCGTTTCAACAGATTAACCTAAACTCTCTTGGTGTGTAGTTTTTTACAATACGGTCAACGCGTGCTAAGGCCATTTTTAACAAATCTCGGATTGTGTTCTGGAAACTGGCTGGGGGGATTAGAGTGATCGCACACTGCGCGAATGTTGCAAAGCACCTTTGAATGAACTGCGACCGTATACGCTTATATATATGTGACTATAAAACTATATAACTATATAACTCTAATCTCTAAATGGCTAGATCCTAATGCATCTGACAAGCGTTTAACGCAGTACCTTCTTCCAAGTGTGACGGAGAATGTCAGGCGTTCGCAGTGTCCACTATATAATAGGCGCATTAATAATACGCAACACGTCCTCGTCCGAGACGCTCTCGTGCGGACACGACTCACTCAACTGACCTTGGCGCCCCCTCACGGCCGCCGCACCGTCCGACTGCGATTCCGCCCCCCGGTGTCGGCGACGATGAAAAACCGGCCTGCCGCTCTCTGGTGTTGACGAGGTGGCGTCGTCTCGACGGAGGGTGGCGCCATCTGTTGGCTGGTGGAATAATGACAACGCGATCGTCGAAGGCTGCACGATGTCGTAGCAATGGCGGCCCCGCTCTGTTCAATCACAGATGAGGAAGAGGAGATGCCACAAGCCGTCCAGCCGTTAGCCGAGACTTCAGACGTCAGATCTGTCCAAGCGAGGAGAGAGGTACTTTTTAGAGAGTGGCGGGAGACGCAGTGAGAATCCTCCCTCCCCCACGCATTCATTTCTGTCCGTCCGTACGTACGCCGTTGCTGGTGGTTCGACGTCGTCAGTGTTGTGTTAGGTGGCGCCCCCTGCAGGCGTCGCTGTCGTATCGTTGCAGAATTCGGTTTCCTTGCCGATACGTGGCTGCCTGGAGACGCTTTGGAGAAATGTATTTACCAGGTGTTGGTGCATTTGTGCGTGCGTGCGTGTGTCCACGTCTTAAAATTGTATAGTATTGGCTCGCACGTGTACAGTAGAATAACCTGTGCGTGGGCACCACATTTTTCTCTCTCTCCCTCTATATCCCTCTTACTTTGCCGTCACACTGTCTAATATTTCCATGTACAGATACGTATCTGTACATGTATTATCACATGTGCTTGTTATTCCAGGTCGAGCGAACCCTTAACAGCAACCTCTTCCTCTCTCGAACCTACCTCCAACGAAGGATGGGAACTGTCTTTTCACTCGCAGCCGAGAGGGGGCACTCGCCACATCATCGACCATGGAGTCAGCGGCGACGGTGAGCGTTGCCACGGCGATAATGGCCAACAGCAGATGCGCCGACGCTCGTCTGGCAAACATGGCGACTGAAAGCGAAATCAAGACGCGCGAGATTCATATAGGTTAGTATAGCGAGAGATCCGTGGTCGAGATATGCCGCATATTTAAAATTCTCGAACACGAAACGAGCATTAAGCAGTTTCGAGCATTTCAAATCTGGTGGAAGATCACCGAGCACTGCAGGGGCACGGTTATGCGTCGTTGATTGACTGATCGCGTTTTTAGATATTCGACGCTCTGCATATAGTATTGCATCCATGCAGAAAGCTAAACCCGGACATGATCTGCAATTATACCAGCAAGAGACAATGGAACGAGAAATGAGGAGAAGCAGGACGAGAAAGAGGAGGAGTCTCACCCAGTTCGACTTCAGTTCAACCACATATACTCAGTGTCCTTGGCTACCAAAGAACTACAAGATACGCGCTTGTGGCTCCCCCTGGTGGCTGAAGATTACGCCCATGCCCCAGTGGCAAGAGGGAGAGAAACAGGTAGCAATTAGTGCATGAGCAGAGCAAACGAAGAGGAGAGATAGATAGAAACGAACACAAGCACACCCATGCTCGCACACACACATGTATGCACACACACGTATATATATATATATATAGAGAGAGAGAGAGAGAGAGAGAGAGAGAGAGAGAGAGAGAGAGAAGGAGGGGGGAGAAAGACAGAGAAAGAGAGAAAGAGAAAGATAACGCACGGGTGGGTCAAACCAGTTTGGCCCAACCCCGGGGCGAAAGGCTTTTTGCGAATGAAGGAAAAAGGGAAATCGTTTAGCTCTATGCTATGGCCAGTGACCCTCTTCTACTGCTGACTGTTCTTGAAATTCTTTTATCTCGGATCGAAACAGGTTACACTTGACTTTGCATCGTGTGGAAACAGGGCCCCCTACGTTCCTCACGCTGCATGCCCATACCACATAAGTACTACACACATACACAAACTCACGCGCACACGCACGCACACAAACGCACGCACAAACGCGCGCGCGAGCACGCATGTTTATGCGAGAGACACGTTTGCGAATATAATATATGTTTTTTTTTTATAATATCGTACCAACTCATGGCCTCTCTCTCTTTCTCTCTCTCTCTCTCTCTCCTATGGGGCTGCATCACTGATCTCTACTATACTAACGTTAGTATAGTATAGATCAGTGGGCTGCATACCCATAACTATGCCCATAACAGACCTCTGTTTATAGGTAATTTTGCACAGGGGAGAGATAGTGATCCGCTAGGGGACGGCTCTGATTGGCTAATTTTGTCTCTTATTTATTTTATTATAT